AGATGGGCGGATAGAAGTGACAAGAAGACGAGGAAGAAGATGTAAGAAGATGCTGGATGACCTTGGGGACAGAATAGGATACTGTCATTTGAAGGAGAAAGCTGTAGATCGCATTAAGTGGAGTAATTGTTTTGGAGGAGACTGTGGACCTGTCGTCTGACATTACTGATGATGACGATATTTAATAGCCCATGTAATACAGGGGTATTAGATATATAGTGCATTGGCTAGTCTTGTCACTGCAGATTAAGCGTTTGAGATTTCTACAAGTATGAATGACGAGGAAAAGCACGTACTTTAAAATTACACACAAAAAAAACACATAATTGGTTAGTACGTTGGTTATAATTTAGCATCAACTCTTAATCCAATATTCTCGTTTATGAAAGCCGCCATTTATACATAATACCATACATACAAGTACAAGGAGAAGCTGAACTAAATACAGAGCAGCACTGATGATTGTTAAAAACTCTACCTCAGACCAACTTCGTTACGGATGAAGTTAAGTGGCATTACCTGGTGTTTCTTTCTGTAAATGGTTTTCCAGTAGGCTAGGATCCAACAAAAACTCAAACCACAACACAGTATTATGAGACGGTCTCGCTACTCCAGGTCTCAGTAAGTCTACATCCATTATTATGTCACGGGTAAAAAAAATATAAATAACAGCTCGAAAATCAATCTACAAAAAAAAATTACCACAACGTGAAACGATCCAAGATGCTCTAACCCAGCCCCGTGAAACTCAAGGGTGTCATGGCGACTATGTTGCCCACCAATAATTTGGGAGTTTCAAGGTGCTGACCACGAGTGACCAACAGCCACACAAGTAGAACAAAGTCTTGCGCATAGCTTTCTGATCTTACATTTATGATGGAAGCGTGTAAATTTTATGTATTCATTAGGGAATAATTAGATCATTCGAGAGAAATTCAGTTTCCTCATATTCTTACAAATTATGGTGTTCGTGATATCATTCCGCAGTTTCAAATTCTAGTTGGGATTCTGCTAAACTTCTCAGCGCCCGTTTTGAGGGTCATGTTTCCAGTAGAATGTACATTTTTACTGTTTTCTGCCCTCTCTCGCCTGTACACATACCAATCCGACTTGTAAAGGAAGTCGTGAGATCGTGAGAGCTGATGGTCTATGGTATGTACGTATATCTTTGAAAAAGTTATGTATAATAGACTACTTGAACACTTAAATTCTAACAACATATTAGTCAATGAGCAATTTGGATTTAGGAGAGGCCTAACAACAGAAAAAGCAACCTATGAACTAACTAACGATATTTTAAGTGCTCTCAATGACAGATTAATTGTGGGAGGGATTTTCTGTGATCTAGCAAAAGCTTTCGATTGTGTTAATCATGATATCTTACTATCGAAATTAAATTTCTATGGAATAACTGGCAAAGCTAATGAATGGATCAAATCATACCTCAAAAACAGGTATCAAAGAGTTGAAATAAATAATAAAAACTCCAGTCATAATGCATTTTCAAACTGGGGAATTA